TTGATATTTGTATATATTGTGAAATGATCACCACAATAAGTCTAGTTAACATCCATCACCACACATAATGACAATTTTTTTTCTTGTGATGAGAACTTTTTAAGATCTACTCTCTCAGCAACTTTCAAATATATAGTACAGTATTATTAACTATAGTCACCATGCTGTACATTACATCCCCAGGACTTATTGATTTTATAACTGGAATTTTCTACCTTTTGACCACCTTCACCCATTTCCCCCACCCTCTTTGTCTTTGTCTTTTGATAATTTGGTTGTTGTGTCTAGGTATGGCACTCACTAGTTTATTCTACTTGGAGTCCATTGAGCTCCTCGGATGTGTAGATTGTTGTCGGGTTTGTTTTTGTTATTATTTTTAATCAAATCTGGGAAGTTTTTGACCATTATTTCTTCAGATTTTCTTTCTTTCCCTTTCTCTCCTCTCCACCTGGAACTCCCCTTTGCATATGTTGGTATGCTTGATTGTGTCCTGAGGCTCTCTTCATTTTTTTCATTCTTTTTTCTTTCTGGTTTTCAGACTACAATCTCAATTGACAGATCTTCCAGTTCACTGATTCTTTCATCTGCCTGCCCAAATCTGCTGCTGAGCCTCTCTAGTAAATTTTTCATTTCAGTTACTTATGCTTTTCAACTACAGAATATCTATTTGGTTCTTTTCAATGATTTTTCTTTATTGATATTCTATATTTGGCAAGACGTCCTTTTCATGCTTTGCTTTTTAGTTCTTTTTTTTTGTGAGGAAGATCAGCCCTGTGCTAACATCTGCCAATCCTCCCCCCCACCTTTTTCTTTTCTTGTTGAGGAAGACTGGCCCTGGACTAACATCCGTGCCCATCTTCCTCCACTTTATATGGGATGCCACCACAGCATGGCTTGCCAAGCGGTGCTTTGGTGCACACCTGGGATCCGAACCGGCAAACCCCGGGCCTCCCCAGTGGGATGCGCACACTTAACCGCTTACGCCACCAGGCCGGCCCCTTTAGCTCTTTACATACGATTTCCTTTAGTTTTTTTTTTTTTTTAACATATTTATAACATTTGATTTAAAGTCTTTGTCTAATAAGGCCAACATCTGGGCTTCCTCAGGGACAGTTTCTAGTGATTGCTTTCTTCCCCCCTTGTATATGGGCATGCTTTCCTCTTTCTGTGCATGTTTCATAATTTTCTCTTGAAAACTTGACATTTTAAATAATATGATGTGGCAACTTTGGAAATTATATTCCCTCCTCGTGGTTTGTTGTTGTTGCTTTCTCTTGTTGTTTGTATAGTGCCTTTTCTGAAAGAATTCTGTAAAGTCTGTGGTTTTTTGTTTGTTCGTTTTTTTGTGAGGAAGATCAGCCCTGAGCTAACATCCATGCTAATCCTCCTCTTTTTGCTGAGGAAGACCGGCTCTGAGCTAACATCTATTGCCAATCCTCCTCTTTTTTTCCCCAAAGCCCCAGTGGATAGTTGTATGTCATAGCTGCACATCCTTCTAGTTGCTGTATGTGGGACGCAGCCTCAGCATGGCCTGAGAAGCGGTGCATCAGTGCGCACCTGGGATCCGAACCTGGGCCGTCAGTAGCGGAGCGCGCGGACTTAACTGCTAAGCCACAGGGCCGGCCCCGTGTTGTTTGATAAAGTCATGCATAATCGCTGTAATCTCTGCTTGGTTAGCTCTCGGTGATCATCTAATGATTAGACAGACATCTCCTTAAATGCCTGGAACCAAGTAGTCTCTCAGCTTTGACAAGCAGCTGTGTGTGTGTGTTGGGACATGCCTTCAACACTCAGCCAAGTTTACAACTCTATCTTAGCCTTTACTTCCTCCTCCTGCACAGCCTCCAAGTAGGCAGTGGTGAGAGCTTAGAGCTTTGCAGGTCTTTCCTAAACATGCACATAGCACTGGGCATGAACATATCCCTAGGCATATGCATGGCCTTCTAGATTCCCAGGACTGTGTCAAAGCTTTTGTTCATTTTCTTTCTATTGTTCCTCTGGGGTGATCTCGGGGGCAAGACCTATGTATTGTGCTAGTTCAGCATCTTGGCCAGGTCATGATTCTAAACCAAAGATGCTATTACTAGATAGACACTCCACCTTTTAATGAGTTCACAGTTAATATATTATACGATAAGTAGGATCAATCCATCCCTTGTGTCCATTCCACACATAATGTTTTGGACATATCAGAAAGCTGCCTCATAGCAGAATCACCTAGGAAGCTTTTTTATGATCTCAAGTATGGAGCACTGCCTGTACACTTTCAAGGTGGTCTACAGGATACCACTACATACCCATTAGAATGGCTACAATTTAACAGACTGACAGGGGCCGGCCCAGTAGTGCAGCAGTTAAGTGTGCATGCTCTGCTTTGGCGGCCCAAGGGTTCGCAGGTTCCGTTCCCTGGTGCGCACTGACGCCCCACTTGTCAAGCCATGCTGTGGCAGTGTCCCATATAAAGTAGAGGAGGATGGGCACGGATGTTAGCCCAGGACCAATCTTCCTCAGCCAAAAAGGGGAGGATTGGCATCCCATGTTAGCTCAGGGCTGATCTTCCTCACAAAAAAAAAGACTGACAATTCCAAATGTTTTTGACAACGTGGAGCAACTGGAATTTCATAGACTAATGGTAGGAATGTACTATGGCACAACCACTTTGGAAAACAGTTTCACAGTTTTTTATAAAGTTAAACATACATTTATCATAAAACCCAGTAGTTTCACTCCTAGGTATTTACCCAAGAGAAATGAGAATGTGTGTCTACAAAAAGATTTGTTATAATTGTTCATAACAGTTTTATTCATAATAGTCAAAAATCAAAATAACCCAAGGGTCCATCAAGAGGAGATTGGATAAACAAATTGTGGTATGTCCATACAATGAAATACTGTGTAGCAACAAACTACTGATACACATAATAATATGGATAAATTTCAAAAACATGCTGAGCAGAAGCAGCCAGGCACAAATATTCTGGGATTCCATCCATATGAAATTCTGGAAAAGGCAAAAGCAATAGTGACAGAAAGCAGGTCAGCAGTTGCCTGGGCCAGCGGTGGAGTGGGGCACATGGAACTTTGGGGAGTGATGGAAATGTTTTATATCTTCATTGTGGTGGAGGCTCCAGAAGTATATACATTTGTCAAATCACACTGAACTATACACTTTAAATATACAATCATGCATCACTTAACGAACAGGATAGGTTCTGAGAAATGCCTCACTAGACGATTTTGTCATAGTGTGCCCATCATAGAGTATACTGACACAAACCTAGATGATATAGCCTACCACACACCTCAGCTCTATAGCCTACCACACACCTCAGCTCTATGGTACTAATCTTATGGGACCTCCCTTGTCCTCGTATATGTGGTCCTTCATTGACCAAAACGTTGTTACATGGTGTCTGATTGTATGCAGTTTATTGTATGTAAATTATCTCAATAAAGTTCATGTTTTTCTAGTTTTTTTTTTTTTTTTTGTTTAGATAGTTTTTTTTTTTTTTTTGCTGAGGAAGATTTGCCCTGAGCTAACATCCGTTGCCTATCTTTCTTTTTTGCAGAGGAAGATCTGCCCTGAGCTAACATCTGTCACCACCCTTCCTCTATTTTGTATGTGGGCTGCCACCACATGGCCACTGACAAGTGGTGTAGGTCCGTGCCTGGGAACCAAACCTGGGCCGCCAAAGCAGAGCGTGGCAAACTGAACCACTAGGCCACCAGGGCTGGCCCAAGTTGATATTTTTTTTAAGATGTAGTTTGAAAATAAATAGGGGCCAGCCTGGTGGCATAGTGGTTAAGTTTGCACATTCCACTTCGGCAGCCCGGGGTTTGCCAGTTCGGATCCTGGGCGCAGACCTACTCACCGCTCATTAAGCCATGCTGAGGCGGCATCCCACATAGGAGTACAACTCTACAGCTGTGATACACAACTATGTACTGGGGCTTTGGGGAGAAAAAAGAAAAAAGAAGAAGATTGGCAACAGATGTTAGCACAGGGCCAATCTTCCTCAAATAAATAAAGGGGCTGGCCCCATGGCCTAGAGGTTCAAGTTCCGCATACTCTGCTTCAGCGGCCTGGGTTCACAGGTTCAGACCCTGGGTGCAGACCTACACCACTTGTCAGCCATGCTGTGGTGGCAACCCACATAGAAAATAGAGGAAGACTGACATGGTTGTTAGTTCAGGGCTAATCTTCCTCAGCAAAAAAAAAAAAACAAAAAGATGATCTGCAGGAGACACCCCTGCTTGTGACTCTGCAGCACACATCCCCATTCAGACACCTGCGGGGGCCAGGTGAAGGGAAGAAAGTCAAAGCACTCAGAGTGCCTGAAGGCGACAGCTGATGCCCAGTGTAGTGTGATAGGCCAGGTTTGTTGTAAGCTGGAAATACATATGTTTGTGTAAAGTCTCTTAGTTTAAAACATTAGCAGCTAATTCAAAATTTTTAATAATGCCACACAAGCCAAACAAAATGACTCTTTATGCTGCACATGGCCCACAGGCAGCCAACTTGTGGTCTGTGCCCTAAAATCTGCCCTGGGCTCAGCCAGCAGTCATGAGCTTGAACCACAGAGTGACTTTTCCTGGGTGTGGCCCTAGCACGTTGCTCTTGACCCGCCTTGGAGGAGGTGATGGGAACTAATCCAATGTGGATCTGGGCCCAGCCCGTGAGATGGGGCCCCAAAGCCTCTGGACAAAAACCAGCTCTATGGCAGTGCACAGTACACCCTTTTCTCCAGTTCTGCATCTTCTCGGGGCTCTTACTGCACCCCCGACCTGGACTGCAGTCACATTAGCAACTGGAAAGGTGGGACAGACCATGGGGGCCTCAGGAGAACCCCATTTACTGCTGATCACTCTGAGCCCTGAGAGCTTCAGGCCTGTGCTCTCATCACTGCCCTTGGAATGTGTGTGGCAGTTGTGCTGCCCTCACCGTCACTGGGGCATGGCCCTTTGTTGGGTGTCTGATGTGCCTTTGTCCCTCGACTCAGTTTGGGGGCAGCCCAGTGTCCTGTGCTGTGGGGCTGGCCGTCCTGGAAGTCTTAGAGAAAGAGCAGCTGCAGGCTCATGCCACCTGTGTGGGCAGCTTCCTGATGGACCTCCTCGGGCAGCAGAAAGCCAAACATCCCATCATCGGGGACATCAGGTGAGGCTCGGGCAGCAGTCACCACTAACTGCGCACCTGCCAGGGGCCAGGCATGGTTTCTTCTTCTACCTCATAACCACCTAACCAGCTGGGATGGGGGAATTGTTATCTCCACTCTACAGAGTAGGAACTGAAGCACTAAGAGGTGCTGTTGCCCAAGATGGTACTTCAGTGGGGGGTGGAGGGTGAGCCAGGATCAAACTGAGCTCTGACCACTAGCCTTTCCTCTGTCCACACCAAGGCCCCCCTCGCCATCATAGTTCCTTCTTGAAACTGTTTCACAACCCTGAGGGTTCTTCCGGCTCTCAGCCTCCTAGGAGGCAAAGGTACAAGCCCTGGTGGACTTTCCAATGTGGGCTTGGCTGAGGCCCAGAGGATACGAGCCAGCCTGTGGTCCCTCAGGCTGACCTCCTGAGATGTTGCCTTCTGCTCCAGGGGCGTTGGGCTCTTCGTTGGTGTGGATCTGATCAAAGATGAGGCCACAAGGACGCCAGCAACTGAAGAGGCTGACTACTTGGTGTCCAGGTACTTTTTCTTGAGACAAGCTTCCTTTGTGGTGTTTAGAGCCCTGATGGAAGGAGCCTCCCCTCTTGCCTCTCCTCTCATCCACTGTGTTCCCAGGCACTCTAGGCCCACAGAGAGTTGACTGAAGGAGGCGGCATCTGGGCTTCTGAGCGGGGAGGGGGCAGCCAGTCTGTGTGGCCGTCCGCTCTGCCCAGTGCCTGGCAGCAAAGCCTTCAGATGGGCACGGGCCGATCGCAGCCTGAGCAGCCGCCTCTGCTGAGAATGCCGAAGCTGGAGGGGCTCTCGGTCCCGGGCAGTCCCAACATCGTGACCCAGGCTGCCCAAGGGAAGCACCTTCACCAGAGCCACACTAGGGTTGTGGCAGAACCAGAATCTGGGCTCCCCATTCCCAGAGTGACAGGTCTTGGGGGAATGTGGATGACTCAGAAGCCCCTGCCCCAGCTGTCTGCATGTTCTTTCACTTGAACCCAGGCAGGAATTGAGCCTCAGGACCCTCCCTCTTCTTGTTTGTTTGTAACTCTCTTTTTATCTCCATTCCTCACTCCTACCCCCTTCCCGCACCTTGGAAAACCCTTCTAACACTTGACGTGTCCTTATTCCAATTGTGAACCTTGCATCATTCTGTGTTTCAAATTGACATAAAACGTACTGATGTAAAAATCTTTCCTGCCACTTGGTTTTTGAGACTGACCCCTCCTAAATGGCCGTCCAGTCCCTGCCTTCTCTACTGGCCAGGCACATGGCCAGCTCACCCACCCATTCCCCCAGGGAGTCTCAGGACTCAAGCATTCAGAATGGTCGGTGGGAAGGAGGGAGCCAGATCAGCAGCGAGCCTGACCTCCTCCACCTCACAAACACCCTGGTGGTTTCTCCAGCTCAGAGAGGACACTAGAACCAGGGCTGGGTCTTTCACTTGCAGTCACCCTGTGGGTGGCTGGGTAGGATTCTGGATTTGAAGTCCAGACCTTGTTCTTTCTAGCACAGCCATAGTCAGTGCCAGGAAGAACAGGATGGGAGAAAGGAGCCGGAAGGCAGACTGAGGACACCCTGCTCCCGGCAAAACTTAAGCAATATAATGAATAAAAAAAGGGATGGGGGGTCAGAGAGTGTAAATACAATCACATCAGACCCCTTCTCTCAGTGGCCAAAATACCTTTCTAGGTTAAAAGTGTAAATATGGAATATTAAAAATGATTCTTAGGCACTGATGTTAAGGAGAGTAAAGTCATCTTCCTAAAAAAAAGCAGAAATTAAAACTGGGTAGTCCTCTGGGATTGCAAGAGTCCCTGTGGGCAGGAGCAGAAACAGGGTTGGCAGGGAAGTTACTGAAGCTAGGTGAGGGGTACATGGGCTTCATTACACTACTCTGTAAATGTTGAACCTTTTCCATATAAAAAGTAAACCATACACATCACAAACCCTAAGATCAAAAATACAGGGAGGCTTGCTGTCCACACTGTCCCCCTGTGGCTAGTCCTGGGCTGACCTAGACTGGGGCTCCACGTATGGATGAGGCAAGGCCCCTGCTCTGGGGAGCAGGCTCGGGGCCAGTTGTAGGGCACCCCAGGCAGGGGGCCATTGATGCTGGGCCACAAAGGATGGACAGGAGCTTGGGAGGGGGTAGCCAATGCCATGTCCTAGTGGGAACTGCCCTGTGAGGGGCTCCAAGGGCAGTGTGGCTGGAGCCCCAGCCACGAGGCCAAGGCCAGGCTGAGGAAGGCCTTGAAGGCCATGTGAAGGGCCTTTGGCTGGTGGGCAGCAGGGCCCTGCTGTGTCCTGTCCTCACAGGCTAAAGGAGAACTACATTTTGCTGAGCACTGATGGCCCCGGGAGGAATGTCCTGAAGTTTAAGCCCCCAATGTGCTTCAGCTTGGACAATGCACGACACGTGGTGGCAAAGCTGGACGCCATCCTGACAGGTGAGCTTGGAGCCCAAGGGGCAGCTGACCATGTTTCTAGAACCCAACCTGAAGTCACTAGAACCTTCCAGCATGCCCAAGGAGGGGGCACAACAGCTGAGTCAGGTGTCCTCTGGACAGCGCAGGGAGCAAGGAGAGAGGTCCTCCTGGCCCAGGCCTCCCCTATTCCTGCCTGGGCCTGGAGGGCTTCCTGAGAACTGGGTAGGTAGAAACTGAGCCACCCCCCCACCCTGCCTGGGCAGGCACCCGTGTGGGGTGCAGGACTAGGGAAGCAGGGCTTGGGTTTATCCAGCCATTAGAACTACAGTGGGAGACCTGGTTATGTGTCCTTAAAGCCACTGTGAGATGTGGCTGGCAGGACCTTTATGCTTTGCTTGAGGCTAGGGTCACCCTCAGCTGCTGAGTGGCTGAAATGAGATTTGCACCAGGATTGAGTGAATGCAAAATGCAATTCTTCTCCGCATTCCCAATCACCTAGGATGTCAAGGTCAGCCCAGCGTCTCCTCCAAATCCATTTACAAATTAATCTTAATAAGCAAAATCCTATCTCCTGGTAGAGATCAGAGCAGCCCAGCAAGCAGCCCATGTCTTTCAGCTCTGGGTTACTTCACTGCTGCCCCCAGGGCCCTGAAGCTAAGGGAACCCAATTCCTCCTAGACACAATCAGAGATGGTGCGAGACCTGCTGGCGGAAGGGAGGGTATTTGCCAGCAGGCTAGGGGAGGAGAGGCTGACTAGGCACAGAACTAGCTTAGGTTTCCTTTTCAGAGGCTTCAGTTGAGCCTGGAAGTCACAGGCAATCTGAGGGCTGGCTTTGTCCTTTCAGGAGATTGTTGCTGACCCTGTAGCTGGTGGCCCATACACATGGGTAAAGGGTGGGACATGGGCCTGTCCAGGGGGCCCAATATCCAAACTGCCATCCCAGAAGCTTGGACACTGAAGGCAGCAGGAGTCTTCAGAGGACAAAAGTTAACCAGCTTGGGTGGCTCGCTGGTCTTTTTCAGACATGGAACATAAGGTGAGAAGTTGTGAGACCCTGAGGCTCCAGGCCTGAGGCAGCCCTGCTGAGTCCTTCTCTAGGTGAGTGGGTCTTGCTTCTCTTAGAGACCCAGAACTGGGGTCCTTACCATCAGCAGCAGCTCCTTCACTCCTCAGCAAGCCAAACCTTTCCCACATGTTAGTTTCAACACTGAAAGGCTCTGGCTGCCTTGGAGTCTCTCCAGCTACTCCCTACCAAAAAGTCTCCAAAATACTTAGTTTGCATTTAATAGCTACAGCAAGAGGGCTTGAGCAGGAACAGCCATTTCTTCCCCCCAGCCAGTTCCTTCTGGAGGTGAGGGGGAAACAAAACTCCCTTTGCCAGGCTTCATCCACCTAGAGCTCCAGCCTGCTGCTGCCTCCTGCAACCAGCTAGGTCCTAGGCCTCAACCACCAGATTTGGGGTGCTCTAGTTCAGCCAGCAAATAGGCACTGCCAGAGCAGGCTGTTACGTACGTGCTGACCAGGAGGGAGCACCATTGTGCCCAAACCCAGCTGGCCCATGACACTGTCCTTGCTGGAAGACAGAGAATCCCACTTCCATTGCCAAGTCAAGACAGGCTTTGCAAGGTGCCCCAGAGTCTCACTGCAGCATCCCCACTGGGGGTGTTAACCCTCACTGTACCATCTTCATCCCCTTGAACAGTTGCCTCAAACCGTCAGGCCATTTCCTTTTTCAAAGGGGCTCAATTCTTAGGCAGGGTAGAGTCATTAAAGGAAAACTAACCAAGGACGTGGAGAATGTGTGGTTATGCCCAACAGGATGCTGTTAGGAGGTCACAGAGGATCCTGGAGCTCCGGAGCACCTGGCCCCACTCCCTTCACAGCATACCCCACTCACCCAGGCTTGGGGGTTTTTAAATTTTTATTTCAAAAGCTTGGATAGCTTCAATATCCAGGTCGTGGCAAAATCAGGACACGTGTAAAATACCTTACAATACATTAGATTCCCAAAAGGTACCAAAAAGTACAGTAAAATTAACACTTCCATTACAGGAAATGTATGACACAAATAATATAAAATTAAAAGGTGAAAAACAGGTGACACTGGTTTCCTAAGATACAATTTACTCTTTACAACCAGGGTCCACAGGTCCAGGCTGCAGAGCAGCAGTGGGACGCAGACTCTCTAATCTGGTTCTGGGTAACCCGGTAATAAAATCAGCCCGTAATACCACTCTGGCCTGAGACACCACACGCTGCCTAGACAACTAGAGCTCTGGAAATAGTACACAGGAGAGTGATTTCCAGGGGACATTTTAAATAAGATGCACATGGGACAGGCCATAGAAAGTATGCCAAGTTAAATTTGGTACATAATTGTGTTCACTCGATATCCAAACAAAGCGTGTGCGGTCGGTCGGGCACTCCTGCCGAAGCCTCAGTATGGCTTGTAGTTATTCTGATGGCCGCCACGTCGCTGGCTCTTCCCGTAATTTGTACTACCCTGACCTAGAGACAAGAACAACAGTGATAGCAGCTACGACTCACTGAGCATTTCCCCCTGTGCCAGGCGCTTGACATGCATCCTTACTGGAGCCAATGACCCTGTCCAGTAAGGATACCTTACCCACCCTTCCTGAAACCCACAAGGTCAAGAGCTCAAGTCGTCTAGCTCCAGTGGCCAAGCCAGGCCACAAAGCCCAGCCGTCTGACTCCAAAGACCCTGCTGCCAGTGGCCCCTGCACTGTCTGTCCTGCCTCCCAGGGTGGGTGAGTGGATGGGGCTTCCCTCTCTCCTACTTACTGTAGTCGTAGCCGGGGCCGTAGCCGTAATAGCCATAGGGCGAGTAGTCGTAGCCGCCATAGCCGGGCCCGTAGCCCTGCTGGTAGCCGTAGCCCTGGTTCCAGTAGTTGCCGTAGCCCTGATTCCAACTCTGACTCTGACCTGTGGGGGGAGCAGGGCACAGGGGCCCATGGACCATTTAGCACACGCAGGAGCTAGGATGGAGGGAATCCTGCCCTTTGGGTGGCGGGGTTACTATGGCAACTCAGAGGTAGAAGCCAAGGGGCTACTGTCCTGGTAGAGAGGGCCCTGGGCCCAGCCCTACACCTGAAGAGACCCAAGCTGGGGATGGGAAGGCCAGGACAGTACTGAACACTAACTTCACTCGGGGTAGACGAGGCAGGAGCTCACTCTCACTCCAATCACCCCTACCCTCCCTGGCAGCTTGGCCCTAAAGATGGAGTTCAGGTTTTGGAGTCAGAGGAGCCTAGGACTGAAGGAGGTAAAGCGCCTGGCACAGCCCTGCCCTACATTCTGCCCACCCGCCCAGGGGTACACCAATGCTCAAGACAGCCACAGAGCCAAGCCCATTGGGCCTCCATCCCTCAGAGTGGGGTGCAAACGGCCCCTCTGCCCTGGGGCCCCAGGCCACATGAGGAAACGGGCTCTTCCACTTCAAGCAGCACAGCCTTGACTCAGGAAAACCACTCCTGTTCCTGCCCACCCTGCCGCACTGAGCACCAGAGGCCAGAGCCCCCAAGACAGGCAACAGAAGCTCCATGCAGGCAGGGAAACAGGACCCATCCTCATCCAGGCTCCACTCACCTCCTCCACTTCCACCGCCACCACCACTGCCTCGATTCCCTCGGTTTCGGTTCCCGCGGCCCCCAGAGCCATACTGCTGCTGTTGATAGACCTCTTTGGGCTGGGCCACCTTGATTTCACACTGAAAGCCAAAAGTACAGTGGGTCAGGTCACTAGGACAAGCTCTGGGCAGAGACTGTGCACAAAAACCTTCACTGACAAACATTCAGATGGCAGATCTGGTCCATCTGCTAGATTACAAAATATGCTGGGGTGGGAAACCACATTTGGGCTAAAAGCTCTCAGAACCACATCTAAAACCTAGACAGACCAAGACTGACACTAGGGCCTTTTTGGCTCAAACCTTTCCCCAGAGAACGTCCAGGGGATGACAGATACAACCCTAGGTCAGCTGACGGCAGCCCTAGGACAGCTCCACGTCTAACAACTGGAAGGAGAGGGATGGCTGGGCTAATGCCAGCCCAGTGTAGCAGAACACCATACCAGGTGTCAGGCCTGGTGCCACCTTGGTCCTACTGGCAAGGGGGTCAGAGAAGGCTTCCCAGATGAGGAGTCTTAGACAATAAGGAGACTTTCTGTTTTTTTTGTTTGTTTTTACAGACTTTCTGATTTTTTCTTTTTATAGAAGAAATGAAGCATCCCACTCAAATATGCTATTGAGGGTGACTCTGACCTCCAACTTACAGAGGAAGAAAGAAGCTGAGGCGCAGGGCAGGGCTTGCTGGAGGCCATCCTGCTACCCCTCCCCACCCACCACTGGTTTGTGGTTGGGGTGGACCAGATGACTACATCCCCTCAGGGCCTAAAGAGTCAATTTCCTTTTTGCTCAAAAATCTGCCCACTGTGGGTGGGGGTAGGGTCAAGGACCTTCCACTGCTCCTGCTTAAATAAATCTTAAGTATTTTTTAAACAAAGTACCCTGACACATATCACCCCCAACTAAGTTCAGTAAAAAAAAAAAATCTTACACGAGGTGTCCCCATACATACCCCTATTAAAAACTGGCGAATTACCCCCACCAACTGATACAATCTGATGTTTTCTATCCTATCGAATTAAAAATGCTGAATACAACTAAATACACTTATTTGAAAATCACTACCAGCAGTTTGACTAATGCTGCTCTACAGGCTCTTCCTGAGAAAAAGGCCTCTCTGTGTCACTGTCTACTGCACTAACAATGGATGACATCTTACCCAACTGCCTCTAGGATCCAATCTCATTTTAACATAAAATTTAAGAGCCCAATTCAGAATCCAATCTTTCTAAATTCCTAACCAAGACTGAGGCTTCCAGGAGCCCTACCCTACCTGTCCCACCTTATCTGGCTGCCACTCCTGCTCAGACAGAGCCTGCCACACCCTGCCACAGTGAGCCACACCCTCAACTCCCAACCGCCTCGACACCTGGAGAATACTCAAAGCATGAACTATCCTCTCTCTTGACTAGAGTTCAGGGGGAAGAGCTGCACTTCTCACCACACAGGACTCTGCTCATTTAAAGGCAAAACTGGCCCTGGCTATAAGCTGGCCAGGACCCAGGGAGCTCTTTGGGAAGGATCTTTGCCTGGGATGGGGGCTGACTAAACCAGCATCCAAGAGGGACAGATAACGAACTTTGATTTGGTTGTAGCAGCAATAAACAGAAAAGCTCTCCAGTAGTATCCACAGCAGGAAAAGACTTCACCACAAAGGAAAGAAATGAGTGAATGGCAAAGTTCTAGAATCTGCTGAGGCCTTACACACCTTGGACTCTAGATCCAGAACCTCTGACCTCTAGCTTTAAATCAGGAGTCAAAGGAGCTACTCAACCTGCTCTCCCTGTCCCATAGAAGCCACCCTTCCTCCCCTGCTTCCCTCACTTCCTGTGTGTTTACTGCCAGGCCTGCCAGTCTAGGAGCTCCTTAAAGGACATGACCATCTGCCCCAATCAGGGCAGCAGACACTGCAGAAAACCGTAACGGCTGATGACCCTGGAGAGCTCTTGGAGGTAGCCCAACCCCTAACCCACACCTCCAAGGGCCAACTCTCCAGTGGCAGAAGGCCAGGCACACAACTGGGAACACCTTACCTTACTTCCACTGATAGTGTGAAACTTTTTCTCCAGAACCTTCTTCACGGGTTCCTCTTCTTTAAAGGTGATGAAAACAAAGCCTCGTCTTTTGTTCGACTTTGGATCCATTGGAAGCTCAATGGCCTCGATCTGTAAACATAGGCAAAAAGCTCAGGACCACTGCCTCCCCTGCCCCAGGGCCCAAAGGGAACTCACAGGAGAAAAGGTCCATGAAGGCAAGAGTGAAAAAGCAGCCTTCTCAAGGGAGGGCTCTGGCCAGCCAAGGCTACCAAGGACCAGGAAGAAGGCAACCTCAGGGCAGCTGGCAGGCCACTCCCAGGGCCACACACTCACCTCCCCAAACTCGCCAAAGTACTCTCTGATCTTCTCCTCAGTGGCTTCCGGATTCAGACCCCCTACAAAAATTTTCTTTACTGGGT